GCATAATTCTGTAATTGACCCGAGAGTCATTCGTGACCGTTCTGTTTTTCATTGGGCATTCGGTCTAGATTGGATTCTTCTTCTGTAGAGAATTTCAGTTAATGACCGATCGGTTTACTATTAGTATACTTGAAAATGAGCGTTCGGTCTAAGTATAATTTCCTATTTCTTCTTAGTAATCAGCCTAGTTAAGACACTCGATATGACTTAAGTCTTAGATACTATACTTATGCTCAGTTGTAAATAAGTATTCGTGGTTATACGGGAGAATCTATTTACTCATTTTGTATAAGCTTAGTAGTGCTTGGTCTCGAACCAAACGCTTGATCACAATAGTGCTTGATTTTGAACCAAGTGCTCGTTCTCGTCATAATACTCAATTATGTACTTGTACTTGAAACTAAGAATGTTCAGCCTAATCTCGTAGTGTTCGGTCTTAACTTTTAGGTTTCAGTTAAAAGATTTTAGTATTCGTTCATGTCTAAATATAGGTGTTCTATAGTATTCAATAAATTCTTTGGGTTATATCTAGTAAAGACCTTTCGGTCATAGCTTTTGATTAGTGAGAAAACGTTCAACCTCATAATAAATATTCGGTTCAACTAAAGTGTTTAGCCTGATTATACCGTTCGGTCATGTTAGCTTTTGAGAGGTGTTCTTTCGGTTTGGCCTTGCTTATAGGAATGATGATATCTCTTTCGGTTTTGTTCAATGATGGGATCTTATTTTATTGTTCGGTTTGACTATATTAATGATTAAACATAATGGCATTCAAAGTGTGATATGAATTGAATAAGTATGGATAAGGAAGAGTGTTCCAAGGAGGAATATCTCGTGGTTGGTTATTGAATGATAAAGTATGAATGTGGTTATGCTTAGTTGGTGTTTATCCTGATATTCTGTGAGTACTCATTCTCAAGTAGAGAGGAGTAACTCATGTGTGAGAATGGCAGGAGGTCCTAGTCCATAAGGTGAACTTGGGCGAGGTATAACGAACTAACCTCGGGTGGCAGTTGTTGAGGGCATCCCAGCTACTACATCATCCGGGTGCACAAACGTCGTAGCTACATAATTCATACAGTCCGGACAGTCAAAGTAAAAGTGGTCGGTCATTACATTTAAATTGTTGTTAATATTGTATGAAATTGCATGTGTGATAATTTTATGATATATGTGAATCTGTTCGGTTTTTATGATTAATTAAATTACATAAGCTTACCCTACTCTCTTGTCTTGTCTTTGTTTGTCCGTTCGGTCATATTTCCTGTTGCAATGATCATCTTGTGGATGTGAGCAGAAGGGGACGCGTGTTCGTTAGAAGAAGCTTTGGAAGGAGGGAATCTTGAAGCCGAAGAGTAGGACCTTTCGGTCAGGAGGATTAGTATTATTCTGTATAGCCGTTCAGTTTAGACTTATAGTTTTGGAACCGTTCGGTTTATTATCTTATTTGACATTAGACTTTGTGTTTTAATGTAAAGTTTTAAATATTTCAGTATTTTAGGTTATCTAGAACTAAATTTGTAAATCTTTTAACTACCCTATCATATTGTTATATGTTGACTCCTTTAAATAGTTTTAAGCTATATTTTTGGAATGTTACACAATAACTTTGATTTGGTTAAAACACTAAATTTTAATGTTGTTAAAACACAAAAAAAAAAAAGGAATTATACAACAAACTATATTTTAAAGGAATTGATTATTCACTGTATTTTGTGTTGAGCTTGAGTTAGTCTAGAATAAAATTTCAAATTAAATTCACATAGTATCTTAAGTTTAATTAAATTAAGACAATCTTATGGTAATTGGGTAATCTAGTCCATAAGAACAATTCAAGCTATTGTGATATTGACGTAGATGTTTTCTTCCTTCTGGGAGAAGTTTGGGAGAAGTAAACATGGTGAAAAATATTTAAAAATGTGTCAAATAAAAAAGTGTTTAATGTTTTGCATTATCTTGACAAGTTCATGAAGACTTCAACTACTCCAACTAACAAAATTTCAATTCTATCATACCATACTCCAAAACCCATTCCCTCAAAGTGACCCTATAATATTTAATAGATGTACATTTATCATTCATATGGGTGGTTTATTATACACCACTGTATTCTTTTATACTTAACCATTCTCTTGTCTTTTAATTGAAATGTTTTATTGTAATTAATTTGTATACCTAGCAGCTTTTTAATGTAACTGATTTTTTAGCTAAATTTAACATAATTGGTTAAATTATAAAATGCTCGTGTAAGTTATTATATATTTAAGAAGTTCAATATGCGATTTATAGTATAGGAATACTTTTGTTTTAAATATGAGTGTATGTATATATATCATTATTTTTTAGTAACTGATAGATTAAATATTGTGGTTGAATAATTTGTGCTAGATGTATTCATTTTGCTATATGGGTGTAATTAAAACATAGATGATACATCATTTCTATTATCTATAATCAAAATAAGTTGAAGGATTACAAAAATATTTTAAAATATATTAGAGATAAATTAAAAAAAATAACCTGGTATTAAATAAAAAATATAAATAAATATTTTTTTTCATAAAATTAAACTATAATTTTATAATTTTTAATTTACTATAACTTTTATGTCTTCTATATCTATTCATTGACGATTAATCTTTAGATTTTATGATATACTTTTATATTAAGTTTTTCTTTCCTTTTTATATATTATGTATGTAAATAATATTTTTTTAAATTTTTTTTCTTTAGTATAAAATCTTAATAATTGTAACACTTTGACGAACAAATAAAATAAAGTTCATTACTTATAAAACACCCACATACAAATAATTTTCCATAAGTAAACACGTTTCAAAAATATTAATATTTGGTTTATGAAAAGTATATTGAAATATATTAGCAATTATTTTACTTAAATGAAAATTATACTTAATCAATAGCTAGTCTCTACTTTATTTTTTCTGGAATAATAGTTCCTTTACTTTTGCTTGAACGATAAATTGTTACAACAATTCAAATCTATCAATTTATCTAAAACTTTTTTATACCAATTTATAATGTTTTAAGAAAACATTAAAACAACTATCAATACTCTTTTATCACAAGTTTTAATCCAAAGAAAATACTTCAAACCTAAAAATGATATCAGAATCTAAAATCACTCAAATCATATAAAAGTTTAATTCGAGGATCAACACAAATATTCTCAAAGTAATTCATAATATCTCCTGCACAACTATATATAATGACTAAAAATAAAATATTTCTAATTCTCCAAACAACTCCAAAACATCTAATTTAATATTGTAAAACTTCAACTTGTCTTAAATCATGAAATTTCAAGACAAAATCCAACTTCATGCCAAAGTACAAATAAATTCAACTGAACTAAAATAAAGATTTCCACTAAAATCACACGTCCCTCACAAAAAAGTAAAAAAAAAAATGGAAAGAAATGCTAATTTACTCAATCTCAAGGATTTTAGAAAACATATACATGATATATATGCAAGATATGAAAGAAAATTAGATATATTAGAGGAAAAAAAACACTTTATTAAAAAACACGGTTCTAATTATATTAACATATGCCATCTTTTAAATTGCAGCTTTGGTAGAAGAAAATATGAGAAATAGAAAATCTTTGAATAAAAAAAAAGAAAATATAAATTTAGAGAAACGAAAATTGAATGGTTGTATATAGTATATATATTAACATGTTTTAAAAATTTAAATTATATTTTAAATAATCTCTATAAAGATAAAAGTTGGGTAATGTATGTGTCAAAAGAAAATATCAGGAATACCTTTTGTTTGAGAAAATCACCAAAAAAAAAGTAAGTAAATCATTTTTCTAAAACTATATATATATATATATATATATATATATATATATATGTTGAACATGCTTTAAAAAACCAGATGTAAAATACTACTTTTCATTTAAGGAAAATGATACTTGAACAACTATTTTTGACAACATTTAGACACGCGCACACGTGTCAAAATCTGAGTGGTCCATTTTCATTTAATTTTTCCAACTAGACCACTCAGATTTTGACACGTGTGCGCGTGTTTAAATGTTGTCAAAAATGATTGTTCAAGAAACATTTTCCTTCATTTAATTATGATTGTTATTTGTTTATTGTGTATTTGACAAAATGCAGCAGGCAAGATAAACAACCATTTTCAGCTGAGACCGACCAATTAAAGATGGAACGTAATAAAGATTTGGCTGGTCATCCAACACGAACCAATTTATACTTTATTACATTTATGGCCCCACCATAACAAAGAAGCTACTTCAACCACATTTGACAAATTAAAATACTTTGGTTTATTTAAATCATTTAAATTTTTCATTATTCTTCTTCTTGTAAATTTTAATAAAAGTATTAAAATTTTTAAGAAAAAAATAAGTATGTTAGAAATTATTATTTTTTAAACTTCTAAAAAAGAGTATTCAACCTCAACAAGTTTTATAAATTTAAACATATCTACACTACTAAACGTTATATTAGGACAACATTGATGGTAGATGTCACGATAAATATAATAAACATAATTAGAATGATTTTAAAAAAAATTTAATACCATTTTAACATAGTACGATTTAAGTGTAACTAAAAAAATAAGATGAAGTTTGAATTCATTTTTATTTACTTAAAAAAATACATTGAAGGGAAAAATATTAAGATGAAAAGTTTTAGCTTCATGTCAATATAATTTAATGGTGAAATTTTATAAGAAATCGATATTAAATTTATTATCTATGAAAAGAATACATGTATTTAATATATTAACAAGTTATTATTTTTTATTGTTTTTAGTTATAATATTTAATAAGTTATATTGTTATATTTTAAATTAGAAAAATGTAAATACATTTAATATGTCTTTTTTAACAACTGACAACCCATGCACGAGAAAATTTAAAAAACGTAATTAATATAACATATACTCAAGGATATATTCGTAATTAAACTCTGCAAAATCATAATTTAAAACTCAGCGTTACCCTCTCTTCGTCATCTCTGCAACTGCAATATTCATTCACAGCTGTCACGCGTAACGAAAATGGCGACAGCAAGACGAAACTTCCCGTCGATAACAGAATGCAACGGAACCAACTCGTCGCCGAGGGAGTCCGTTGCCGCTGACCTCGACGGCACGCTCCTCATCTCCCGCAGTTCATTCCCGTACTTCATGATGGTGGCCGTCGAAGCCGGCAGCCTCCTCCGCGGCTTCATCCTCCTCCTCTCCGTTCCGCTCATCATCTTCGCTTACCTCTTCGTCTCAGAATCCCTCGGCATCCAGATCCTCATCTTCATCTCCTACTCCGGACTCAAGATCCGTGACATCGAACTCGTGTCCCGTGCGGTTCTCCCTAGGTACAAACTCACTCATTTCGCTCGCATTCTTTGCTTCTCTTCACACGAAGTTCCATCGTGTTGTAATCTTATGTGTGTACATGCGTGTAGGTTTTATGCTGCGGACGTGAGAAAGGAGAGCTTCGAGATGTTCGACCGGTGCAAGAAGAAGGTCGTGGTGACGGCGAATCCAACAGTGATGGTGGAGCCGTTCGTGAAGGACTTTCTTGGTGGAGACAAGGTGCTGGGAACGGAGATCGAAGTGAATCCGAAGACGAAGAAGGCTACCGGATTCGTGAAGAAGCCTGGCGTGCTCGTCGGAAAGTGGAAGCGTCTAGCCGTTGCAAAAGAGTTCGCTGAGGAGTCGCCGGACATTGGACTCGGAGATCGTAAAACTGACTTCGATTTCATGTCTATTTGCAAGGTTTGTTTTCTACCTATTATTATTACTTTTGTTTTTCTTTTACACATTAAAATTTGTTTGTTGGTGATTAATCAGTAGTAGTGTACGTATACAAAATACAAATATTTTATAATGTTTTAGTACAAATTAATTAAAATTACATTGGTACTGGATAATTTGTATGAAGTTATAGAATTCAATTGCTGAACTCATAATTATTTGTGAAATATTGAATTCACATGCAAATATTTTTTGTAATATTATATATATATATATATATATATATATATATATATTAAAAATTAACCTTGTAAATAATGAATATATTTAATGTACTAAATTTTAAAAATATTAAATGTCTTAAAGATTCATAAAATAGTACGAGAAAGTGACTAAAGCATAAATAAATTCATTTTAATATCATCAACTATATATTTTTTTTGTTAAAAAATATTAAATATTATTCTTATGTTTTTAATATAGTAGTTATTTTGGCATAAAATATTTAAAAACTTAAGAGTGATAATATGTGAGACATGATATTAGGCTTCTTCTTAAATAAAATAGGTATATTTTTCTTTACAACCACTATACAAATTTATTATACTATTTTATTTATATCTATTATTATTATTATTATCATCATCTTAATATTTTATTAATAAAACTATTGTAAAGTATATGTTCTGTGAAAAAGTATATAAATCTTCCTCAGATGGAATGTAAAATTTCCAATATATAAACTGTACGGCTAGTCTGAGACAAGGCATATATATATATATATAATATATATAACAAAAAAATAAAGAAAAGAAAAAGAAGACCTAAGACATTTTAATAACTATTTTTAATAATTTTTTTGACATTAGTGTCATTATTTTATTAGTATGTATATATAAAATGGACGAATAATAAGCTACCGCTTATGTTACTGGGAAAATGTTATAAGAAATTATTAAGAAAATATTTTCCAAAAGTTAATGTGAATTCAGTGAAGTAAAAACTAAAATAGGAGAGAGAAAAAAAAGAAGTGTAAACATTTTTATATTAAACGAGTAGAAAGAAGAAAGTGAAAGAAATTTTATGACAATAATAGAAAGTAGATGGAGATGGATTGATCCATGATTGAATAATGATGTGAGTAGGGTCATTACTTAAAAAGCCTCTGTTTGCTTTATTTATGCGGCACGCGAATTATGCATTATACTTACTTGCTTGTTAAGTAAAGGATAACATAGTTGCACAAGTTAACGACGTCTCGTCGTGTGGTCATGTATTGTAAACCCAGATCATGTAATGTTTGTCACCATTAACCAATTAGTTTGGTTTCCTTCCTACAAAACGTAGATAAATTGATTTACATTACGTTACCTAAGAAGATTAAGCAGGTTCTTTCTTCTTTTGTGTATAATCTATATTTACTGGGTTAATCATAGAGATCGTGAACCGTCTATAGGCAATAACATATTCGGTAATGAATTATAGCATTTGGGGGGGATATGAAGCCATGCATTTACTTTTTTTTACAGTTCAGTGTGAGTGTAAATGCATGCCATTTTATTCCGGTTCCACACTCAGTGAGACCCACCACATTAAGTATTAACCATTCCCAAACAACTACCAATAATGCATGCTTTCTGTGGTCCATTGACTCCATTCACACTCTCAGAGCATGATGCTTTACTACAGTCATGATCCATCCATACTGTTTCCCTCTTAACTACTACCTAAAATTTTCTTCTCAATTAATGCAGTAGTCATTCACCGCCCCACCCTCCACTGTCCCCTTAGACCATCTGTATTAAAAGAGGGGGTCTTTACATTAAATTTAAGATTTAGGTTTTATATATTAAAGAAAAACCTTTAAACAAGCATGATGATGATGAGTATCTTAAAAAGAACTACGAAATACGTTTAAGAATTAAAAAATTATTTAATTATAAATTATAAACAAAAATTAAGTTGTAAAAAAACTAAAGTATAAATAAAAACCATAAAAGTGCATTATACAATAAAATAAGATTTGCTAAAAATGTATTCTAAAATTGTTACACCAAAAACAGTCTTTGTAAATTAAGCAAATACAATTCTCACTTTCTATTACAGTGAAGTTATCATTTCTGTTGTACCTCTCGTTATCTCAATCCCACGTTTCTGTTATTTTCCTATCTCGCTCGTAATGTAAAATAGAAGTATAGAAATAAATAATCTAGCGATATAAAAGGACACTGAATTTTTATTTTGAGAAACCCGAAAGATGTGAATAATCTATAGGTGGTTTATAGTCTTCAATGGGGTGATTAATTTCATACTAGGAGGTAGTTATTGTACATTTAATCAAGTGTAGATAGATATATAGTTGGTGAAATGTTGCTTTGCAATTATTAAAGGTGGTGAGATTGAAAAAAAAAATTAAATAATGCTAAATATGGTTATCATGATGGATGCCTTTATTATCAGTAGATGCAATTTCTCTAATTTTTCTTGAAAAAAAGGCGAAATACACTGATCTAACCTCAATCAACAAATGATGAATAACAGGAGGGTTACATGGTGCCTCCGAGCAAATCAGCAAAACCAGTCCCACAGGAGCGACTTAAGAGCAGGATAATCTTCCACGACGGTCGTTTCGTGCAGAAGCCAGACCCACTCAACGCTCTCATGACCTTCCTATGGCTACCCTTTGGTTTTATTCTCTCCATTATACGGGTCTACTTCAACCTTCCCCTCCTCGAACGCATCGTGCGCTACACCTACGAAATGCTCGGCATCAAGCTCGTCATCCGTGGCCACCGCCCTCCACCACCGTCTCCTGGCACCCCCGGCAACCTCTACGTATGCAACCACCGCACCGCCCTTGACCCCATCGTCATCGCTATCGCCCTCGGCCGCAAGGTCTCCTGCGTCACCTACAGCGTCAGCAAGCTCTCCCGCTTCCTTTCGCCCATCCCCGCCGTCGCCCTCACTCGCGACCGCGCTGCCGACGCCGCCCGCATCACCGAGATCCTCCAGAAGGGTGACCTGGTCGTCTGCCCCGAAGGCACGACGTGTCGCGAGCCCTTTTTGCTTCGCTTCAGCGCCCTCTTCGCCGAACTGAGCGACAGAATCGTTCCCGTGGCTGTGGACTGCAAGCAGAACATGTTCTTTGGAACCACTGTTCGTGGTATAAAATTCTGGGACCCTTACTTCTTCTTCATGAACCCTAGGCCAGTTTACGAGGTTACCTTCCTGGAGCCGTTGCCGGAGGAGATGTCGTGCAAGGCAGGGGGAAAGAGCTCAATTGAGGTGGCGAATCATGTGCAGAAGGTGTTGGGGGATGTGTTAGGGTTCGAGTGCACGGGGTTGACTAGGAAGGATAAGTACATGCTGTTGGGTGGGAATGATGGGAAGGTGGAGTCTCTGTATGGTTCTAAGAAGTAAAAGATTAATCGCATGAGATTAGGAGTTACATGGTTCGATTGATATAGAAAAATGTTAGCTATTGCTACTTTATTATTTTTCCTCATCCCCACTGCAACTTTATTATTTTTCTTCATCCTTCTACATGGGATTTTGTCATGGATGTGACTGTTTTAAGTCTTTTTCAAACTTTTTAGATGTAACTTTTCTTTTTCTATATTAATTATTTCTTTCAGCTATCGACAAAAAATAATAATATACAAATATAACCTTTTAAAGAAATAAATATACTCCGCCTTATTATTTATTAAAAATATGCTTTTCAAATTAATTATATTATTTTAACAATTTATTATTTTTATATTATAATTTTTTTGAGTAATGCCTCATGTAATTTTCATCTTAAACGACTAAAGAAAGAAACATACTTGTCAATGTTTATAACTTTTTTTTTCAATTTCTTCCTAAAGAAAATATTTAATATATCAAAATTTGTCTTTTTTTTTATATCCTTTCCTCCTAATTTAATTTATTTTCTCTTTAACAAAATAAGTTAAAGTTTAGATAAGAAAAAAAAAACTTTTGTTTAAGACATACCTAATTGTACTCTATAATCTCTTTTGTTGTTAAATGTCAAAATTTCAATTTGAAAGATGACATGTGTCAAAATATGATAGATTTTAAAATAAAAAATTATTCACATTTTAACACATATTGTAAAAATCTAAAATATAAAGTATTAGAGTATATAGATGTTTTAAAATAATGGATCAATTATTTTATTTTAAAACAAGTCGCTAAAATGAATAGAATTTTATATCGTCTTTTCATTTATTAAAACACACTTCATCTAGAACTCGTTCTCTAAACTCTCTTTACCTTCTCTCTACATTTTCTTACTTTTTGATCTTCTGTTTAATGATCAGGAGGTTCCTAGAGGATCACGACGAAATACTTTCCACTTTCAACCGATTGATTCTCTGTTTAGAGCAAGTTTTTCCTAAAATTCATTGTAGTGGAAGCTTGGGACGAGTGTTTTTAGAACTGTTATAATTCCCCTAAGGTAAGGGAAACTAATTCATCTTTAATATATGAAATAGGAAGTGTTAGATATATTATCTTTATTTTATATTTATCTTTTATCTTTAGTTAGTTTATTATTATTTCTTATTTGTATTTTGGGCTTAGCCCATATTTCTTCTATTATAAATAGAAGACTCTATGTGTATATTCAACACAAGGGAAATTAATCCCATACATAGATTTTAATATATTCAATAGGAAGTGTAAAAATTTGTTTTGGAGGCGTGATATAATTGGATGATGTTTAAATGAGTTAAATTGATGATTATGGTAATTTTTGGTGATTAATGACATGTTTGTGATTGTATGAATGTATGAATGTAAAAAAATGTTGGTATGTTGAAATTAGAGTGGAATGGAATGCAAAGTTGTATTGAAAGTGAAATAGTGAATAAAAACGAGTTGAAATACTATTTTAGGATTCAAAATGAAGGAGTTGGTATGCTAGTTTTTGGGAATGAGTATGATGTAAAAGTTGCAGTTTGGTAATGGTTTTGAAGTGTTTTATGACTAATTAACATCCTAAGATTGGTTAAATAAAGAAGGTTAAGAGGGAGAAAGAATATGAGTTCAATTTTTTTTACTTGTTTTAGAGTGAATTTTGGGGTTTTGGTAGGTGAGTTTTGAGTAAGAAGTTGGTTAGGTAAAATAGAAGTTTAGGGATTGTTTTGAAGTCCATTAGGACTTGTGAGAGTGGTTAAACCAGAAAAATCTGGTTTGTAATGCAGAAAAGAGTCGATGATGATTGGTTGAAGTGATTTCGAGTCTATTAAGGAGGTTTTGAGTATTGAATCTTTAAAGGAGCAGTTGAGTCAATTTAAACTTGTTGAGTAGGAGTTGGTATAGAGTCTATTGTTGAGTCAATTTAAACTTGTTGAGTAGGAGTTGGTTTAGAGTCTATTGTTGAGTCAATTTAAACTTGTTTGTGCAGTAAAATTAGTGTCATGAGTGGTAAAAGAGGTAGAAATGAGATTGGGTAGTTTAGAGAGATTAATTTGGTTTATAGTGACAAATTTGAGTATAATGGTGTTTCCAGGGGTTTCTTAATGTTTATAAAAGGAGTTGGAATTAATTGAAAAGTTCAGATATATGAATCTGGGTTGGCAGTTAAACTAAGATCATATTTGGTGTGGTCACTTGACGATAACTAATGACTTCTTAGAAGAAATCAAGGCAGAACAAAAAGAAGATTCTAGCTTACAACGTATTATTGAATCTTTAGGCTCGAATCAAGCTAAGAAATTCTCCGTGGGGACAAATGACATTCCTCGTTTCAAGAACAGAGTATGCGTTCCATCAAAGATGGGATTAAAGAAAATGATTCTTGAAGAAGGCCATAAGAGTCGGCTTAGCATACATCCAGGTATGACTAAGATGTATAAGGATTTGAAGGAATCGTTTTAGTGGAGAGGAATGAAGAAAGATGTGGCAGAATTTGTATCATCATGTTTGGTTTGTTAGAAGGCCAAGATTGAGCATTAGAAACCAGGAGGGATGTTACAACAGTTATATATTCCTCGATGGAAATGGGATAACATCTCGATGGATTTCGTGACTCATCTACGAAGATCAACAAAGGGCCATGACTCCGTATGGGTGATTGTAGATAGACTAACAAAGTGTGCCCACTTCTAGTCAATCAATCAAAGGACGTGCTTGGATAAGCTGGCAGAACTTTATGTTAGAGAAGTAGTCAGATTGGATGGTGTACCATCCGATATCATTTTTGATCGTGATCCAAGATTTACGTAGATTTTGGAAGAAATTACAAAGGCTTTGGGTACGAAGCTTAGAATGAGTTCAGCATATCATCCACATACGGATGGATAGTCCGAAAAGACTATTCAATCTCTCGAAGACTTGTTGAGGATGTGCATTTTGGATCATATGGGAAGTTGGAGCGAAATTCTACCTTTGGTAGAATTCACTTACAACAATAGTTTTCATTTCAGCATAGGAATGGTGCCATATGAAGCCTTGTATGGGAGAAGATGTAGGACACCTCTATGCTGGTACTAAGATGGAGAAGTAGTTGCATGAGGTCCCCGAGATGTTACAGCAAACGACAAGAAAAGTTAAGATGATACAAAAGAGAATGCGCGCAACTCGAAGCATACAAAAGTCTTATGCAGATAAAAGAAGAAGACCTCTTGAGTTCGAAGTAGGAGACCATGTGTTCCTTCGTGTGTCTCAAATGACAGGCATAGGAAGAGCTATCAGATCGAAGAAGTTGACTCCCAAGTTTCTTGGACCACTTGAAATCATCAAGAGGATTGAGCCAATAGCATATGAATTCGCGTTGCCTCCACAGTTAGCGAATTTACACAACGTGTTTCATGTATCACAACTAAGAAAGTACGTGTCAAGACTAGATCATGTGCTTGAAATGGATGGCATTCAAGTCAAAGGGGATTTATCTTTAGACGTCAAACTTGTGCGAATTTTGGATCATCAAACTAAACAACTTAGAGGAAAGAGCGTCCATACGGTGAAAGTGTTGTGGAATGATAGCACGTAAGAAATGACTTAGGAATTAGAAGAGGATATGAGTAAGACCTACCCTTATCTATTCTCTTTATAACCAAAATTTTTGAGGATGAAAATTTTTGTGGAAAGGGAGAATATAAGACTTAAAATAAATACGATAAGATGTTTCAATTTTTATGTTGCTTCGCAAGTAATAAAATATCCTTGTTGTAATTGTAGTAGTTCAATGCATAGAAAGGAGCTTGATTAAAAATTGAAACATAAAAATTGAAACATCTTATCGTATTTATTTTAGGTCTTACAGAAACCAATTTTCCAATTCATATATTCACATAATTCATCAATTCACAGTTTAAATGATGCTATGATCAATTCATCATAACCAATTCAAATGTAAAACTAAAATACTAAAGCAAATGCTATCATCAAAACAAAAAGAACTTAGTTTTCCAATTCATATATATTCACATAATTCAACAATCATTGTATATTTAAACCACGATATTATCAATTCATAAGTAAAACTAAAACCTAAACATATGTTATCATCAAAAGAACTCAGTTTTCCAATTCATATATATTCACATAATTCATCAATCATTGTTTATTTAAACCATGCTATTATCAATTCATAAGTAAAACTAAAAGCTAAACATATGCTATCATCAAAACAAAAATAACCTAAAGCTAGAGCTATTTAAAATGTTGATTCAAATATTCTGCCCATTCCCCTCTTATCTTCCTTATTACGACCTCTGGCAATGAAGTGGTACTCTTGAACCGCTGCAAAATTAAGGAAACTTTACTATTAAATTCATTCAAATGTGAAAATTTTATTGGTATTTGTAAGATTTCAAATGTAAATTTTTACCTCAGTCCATTATGTTGTGATTCGTGCTCGGATGATTGTCTTCATCCATGACATGATGTAGTAGTCACATGCCCAAGAATCTGTCTGCTTGTTATATTAAACATGTGAAAGAACTTAGTCAATGTAAATGTTTAAATTTGACTACGAAAATTAATAAGTTATAGATCAACAACTTCCAACCTTAGGATATATAATTTCAATTTGTTGTGTTATAGGCTTAGCCACACCTCTAAACAAATTTGAAACATTAGAAATATAAGTTAATATATTAATATCATAATGAGTTGATATTAATGAATGTAATACTTACGTTTGTGACAAGGACTTCAAATCTGATTTCATCTTCCTATGAAGAGAACAAAACCATACAACTTGTGCCTTTTTTGGTATGATCACCATCGTTTGCCAATGGCCCCTAACATGTACCAGCAACTAGTGAGTTTATTGATTAAATTTTGATAAAAGTTGACAATATTGAGAAACACATACCATCAATGTATGACACGATATACAACTCTCTTTTAGACTCATTCATCCATGTTTGCGTATATGATTGTCTTTAATCTAATGTGTTTCCAGATGATTGAATGGTCTGAGGTTCAAGAAAGCCAAACATTGTTTCCCGACCTTGTTCCACTATGATGGTGTCCATGTACCTATAACAATAAAGTTAAATATATTTATTAAAAGCAATAATACTAATATTCTAAAAGTTAAATAAGAATTAAAAAACTTACATGCACCATAGTTGTATTCATGAAATCTTCAACATTCTTTCTCCACCAACGATCTTCAATGGATCATTTAAAGCAATATACAATGACACATGATACTAGAGGCCAAATGTTCTTAACTCCTACTGCAGCTCTACCGGTCCTTTATTCAACTTATGCAATTTCTTCATCAATAAACCTAGAGGATAATCATTATCTTCTGCTTCCTCATGATCTTCATTCACAAGTTGAGTCATTGGTTGTTTCTTAGTATGGTAGAACTGCAAGTCACATTTAAAAATTTAGGAATCATTTAATTATAACTTGAAGATTTAAATAATAAAAATTAAGAATATAATGCCGCTGATGGGCCAAAATATGGCATGATCATAGCCTTAGCTCTTCCAAAATTTTCTTCGCCAACGTCACGTACCATTTTGTCTAAATGATCACTCATCCATTCGTCGACATAATCTGAACCTCTTAACGTTGTTGGCTTATATAATATTTTCCCATGCCAAGTCCAAATTGTATGACTTCTCATTATTCCATAGATGAACAGATGATCACAAATGATGTCCAAGTCTTCAAATATTTGATTGAGACAACGAAGACAAGGGCACAAATATGCCCCGTTCACTGGTTTTGCATGTTCTTTAACATATTTTATGAACTCAAACCCCTCGCTCATACTCTTCACTAATACGACACTTAAGAATCCAACTTCAATCCATACTATTCCAAGTAATTTTAAAACAACAAAAGCAAAGAATCCACGTCAAAAAATAAAACTGACTTACGTTCCGAACCAACAAACAATACCTATCATGCACACGTTGAAGGAAAAAAAACTATCATACGTACATGAACACAAATATCTATCGTAATACATATATCATACGTCCAGAATCCACAAACACAACATCAAACACGAAAGTATATATCATACGTAAGACATTGAATGAAAAAAAAACCAACCTCGAAATGGTGTCGCTGGAGAAGATGAAGTTCGCTGACCACGAATGCAAAAAGCCTAAAGATAAACGAAAATCAATCGGTTAAACCAAATGAAAAACAAAGTAAATGAGTATCAAATGACATTCGAAAGACATAAACGACTTAAAACTAACCTTCTTTGTTGCTCGCCCTCGTCCTCGAAAAAGAAAGTTCAAGCATAAATGAAAGTGCGAAGAAATAGTGAGACTCTGTTATGTCTTTTACATTCATTAAAACAGATTCAATGTCGAACACAAGGTGAATTTGACGTTCTATTTAAATAAAACGTCGAAGCCCCCATAATTCGACGTTCTATGGTGGTAAATATTTAAACTAGCGTGCCATTCTTTTATTCTTTTCTTCTTTTAAACCACCAAGAGTGCGTCGATTTCTATGGGGGCTTCGATGTACTATTGGTCATCCAGATGTCAAAGTCTTTCTCCCTTTTTATTTTTTTTTTCTTTTTTCTATTAAACCACCAAGAGTACGTCGATTTCTATGGGGCTTCGACGTACTATTGGTCAGCCAGTAGCCAAATATTTTCTTCCTTTTTAATTTTTTTTTCTTTTTCTTTTAAATCACCAAGAGAACGTTGAACTATATTGGGCTTCGACGTACTATCGGCCAACCAGAAGCCAAAGAGTTCCTCCTTTTTTTATTCTTTTTGTCTTTTCTTTTTAACCTCCCATAACACGTCGAAGTCTGTGGGGGCTTCGACGTGATAGACATTGGAGTAGTTGAGAGTATTAATGGTGTGCTTTTACTAGAGCATTAATATTATGTCGAAGTCTTTAGGACTTCGACGTTTTATTCTTCAGCCAGAAGCCAAAGTTCGCTCCTTTTTTATTCTTTTTTCTTTTCCTTTTTAACCTTCCACAGTACGTCGAAGTCTTTAGGGCTTCGACGTGATGGTCATTGGAGTAGTTGGGAGCATTAATGGTGTGCTGTTACCAACAATGTTTTTCACGTCGATTTCTGGGGGGCTCGATGTCAAGTAGTTCATATATGAATCTAAAGAGATTAATTACTTATTCACTAAATGATGTTTGAACGTCGAATTTGGCTGGGCTTCGACGTTCATAAGATTTGGTGGACTGTGGCAGTTAGTAGGCATAATTACATGTTGTATTGCTTATTCATGATGTAATGTTATTGCACGTTGATTGCTTAGCCAATTCGACGTCACGATTTCATCTATAAATATAGCTTGCATTTCACGTAACCCCTTGCCTCCTGTTTCCCTTTTGAACATATTAGGATTCATGTTTTTTAATTTCTTTGCATTTTCCTTTTCTTAGATTTCGAAACACTTCTATTCTATAAATTGTAATTTGATCACTTGAATTTCAAAGTGGCACATTCATCATCTTCAGTTTATATGAAGGTTCCCTTTGAAATTCAAGTCAAGTCAACAAAATGTTTTTATAGTACAAAAGTGGTTAAAATATCTTACTGAAAGGGAAGTGCTCGGGAAAAAGAAATATGGTTCACAATATGTTTAATTCTGAAACAATTTTAAGAACTAAAATAAATTTATAAAAATGTTGTCCAACTTCATCATTTAGCAATGTATGATTCTTTTTTTAAAGTGTCTTGGAGTTGTTTTGTATGATTAGATTTCAGAGCTATCTGATTTCCTAGTGTGCAAACAACTTCAAGACAATTTAAATTAAGAATCTATTTACATAGTTGACGTCGAAAATAGACCGCATTCGATGCCAAGCTTGGAGTTTATTCAATTTTTAAGTTACTATTAATGAAGTTCAAAGGTTTGACGTCGAGTTCTAGGCTCTTCGACGTTTACATGTTCATATCAGAATCTTTTGAAATCTAGCTATTACTTTTTCACTGAATAATGTTTGAATGTCGAATGCGGCTCGGCTTCGAAATTCATACTAGGTGGAAGTTAGTAGGCATAATTACATGTTGTACTGCTTATCCATGATGTAATGTTATTGCACGTCGATGTCTTGGCCCAACGGACGCCACATATTCATATATAAATGTAGCTCTCATTTCACGTAACACCTTGCTTTCTGTTTCCCTATTGAACATATTAGGATTCATTTTTTTTATTTCCTTTGCATTTTCTTTTCCTTAGATTTCAGAGCATTTTTGTTTTATAAAATGCAATTTGCTAACTTGAATTTTAAAGTGGCGCATTCATCTTCAGTTCATATGAAGGTGCCCTTTGAAATTCAAGTCAACAAAATGTTTTTTATGGTACATAAATGGTTAAGATATTATATTGAAAGGGAAGTGCTCAGGAAAAAGAAATATGGCTCACAATATTTTTAATGCTGAAACAATTTTAAGAACTAAAGTAAATCTATAAAAAAGTTGTTCAACTTCATCATTAGCAATGTATGATTCATTTTTTAAATTCTCTTCAAGTTATTTTCTACCATTAGACTTAATATCTAACTGATATCTTAGGGTGGGAACAACTTGAAGACAATTTAAATTTTAATATGACGTCGAATATTGAATTCATTCGATGCAAAACCTGGATTTTATTCATTTTTTAAAATTACCTTATTATGAATTTGACGTCGAATTTTTTTGTTAACCGACATCCTATATCATAGAGGATTTCTAAAAGAAATCCATTTTTACAAAACATAGCGTCAAAAATGAACACCAAACAAGAAAGAATACATTACAACGAAACACAGTTAGTAAATAAAAAAACTAGCAAAACAATGAAGAATGTTTTTGAAATTCATAAGTGCTAACATTTTCTTCTGGTTTGCCACCATGCCTTCATCGTTAACAAAGAAATGTTTTCGTTTAGTGGAGGAATTAATGGAGAACCAAAGGAAAAAGTTAACATGAATTTGGTTAGGAAGGTTATGTAGTGTAGGTTTTCAAATGGTATTACTTGAAATGAAATCCAAATATGTTAACTTATTTTTTTGGATTTCTATTGCTCCTTCATGCATCATTAAAACTTTTGTGACCTTGAAAGAGCTAAGAGAAACCAAAGACAAAATGTTAACAGAGTAACAAGTTGCGCCAAAATTTTATAAGTGGAGGTCTAGATCAAGGATCCAAAATTGTATTTAAAGAAAATGGACTTGAACTTTGACGTCAAATTTTTACACTATTCCAAGTCTACTTTATATGGAAAAAGGCTTTGTTGGTCATCATAAATGTTATTGTAAGAAATGAAAATATTAACGTCGAATTCGGAAAGTCTTCGACACTCACTAAAAAAATGATATATAGCCGAGGTTTTTTTTCGGAGGTTATAGAAAACTTCCACAAATTGACATGATTTGAAATGACTGTGTTTAACAGTGTAAATGACAATAATTGGGGCGGTTTTAATTTCTTATTTAGGAGGTTTATAACATCTTCTGATTATAAAAACTTTTTTTCTTTCCTTTTCATTTTTTTATATCTCTTCCCTCTTTATATTTTACACTTAATTATTTTTTCCCCAATTCCAAAACCACGTGTACCTCCAAAATTTTCGACTTTTCTTCTCCTCTCCCAAATTTCCCACTCCCTTCCTCCTCTCAAAATTTCGCAATCGTTCTTCCCTCTCGAAGCTTCTTAAAATCATCGCATTCCCTTTCTTCCTTTCTTTGTTCTTCCATTTCGCTCACGATAATTCTTTACTTTCGAATTAAGGTTCCCTAACAGTTCTTCGTTGACTCCTCCTACAACTCTGGAACAACATTCTGATGACATCGAGTTCTACGCCGATTCCTCCTATGAACTCCAATGAAAGCTCGTCCAAGCCGCTATCATCGTTGACTCCTCCAGCGACGTTCAGTCCTCTTACTCTCCTGTTCTTGTATAACTAACACGAAAGAGAGAGAAGCAAATAGAGAAGGTTCTGGAACAACAACACAGGAAAAGGCAGAAGAGAGAGTTAGGGTTTTATCGATTAACTCAAAAAATGGAGAAGAGAAGGGAAAATAAGGGGGAAATGAATGATGTCGTTCGTGATTCTCACCAGCGGAAGAGGGATAAACACTACAAGGTTTGGGTTAGGAAAGGTGAGATTTGAGACTTGGTTCTGTGGTCTTGTTAATAATTGGTGAAGTTGGTGTCATTTCTCATATTTGTTAGAATCAATCATAGTTTCTTTTACAATGTTGCTCTATCAAATTAATTCATTTTGCAATGTTTGTGTTTCCTTTGTGTAATGCATTAATCATTGATGTAAGAACCAACCTTTCTAATTTATAATACATAATTAATTTCAGAAATCGTTTAATGTTAACACTGTTTTTCATATCAATATCTAACCATTTAGTTTGTATTGAAAAAAACACATTATAATAACAGACAAACATTTGGTGTAAATGGAACTCCTTTCTTGAGCTCCCTTTTTCATAATTTGCTCCTCTATTATAATAGATTTAGAATCTTCATATGCTGCTAATGATTTTTTCTTACATAGAGAGGATAGGATAGTGAGTTCTCCATAACAAAAGTATAAAACAGAAGACAATAAAGATGAATAATAATTAAAGAAAAGCTACCTATGTTCTGGAAAACAGACAATTGAATTATAAATCCAATTTTGCATGCTTATAAATGTTGGACTATAATCTCTTTTCTTTAATCATTCATAACTGGATTTGTTAGGTTCAAGGAGCTTCTGATACTGGTGGACACTTGCCAAGCCTCTACTCTGTTCTTCCAGGTGTGACATCCCAAATATATAGCAGATATATATGCAAAGACATCACCAATTTATAATATTAGAAAGCAGTTAAGAGATGTACTTAAAGTATTATAGTATTACAGTCTTCCAGAATTTACTAAGAAATTAAAACTTCAAGCACTAGAGTATTCCAAAATATGTCCAGAATTTGAAACTTAAAATATAACAAGGTTCTTCAAAATGACATAAGAGAACTAATAATTCCTAGTGAGTCTAAGCTGTAGCATCATCTTCATTTCTCTTTAATGTTGCCTCCAAAGAAATCTCATCTTCCTCTACTCACATCCAAGTGGATGATCATTGCAAAAGAAAGCACATACAACAAGCACACAAACAAGCAAGGGTGAACTAATTATATAAAAGCATGCATCATATCAAGAACATAACATACAAGAGTTAACTTTAATCAAAGCAGTTTAAGGCATACATCCTAGTATGTTATCTTATAGACTTGACTCGTCCGGACTTTAGAATGATAGTCGAGCTATGGCGGGTCCTGCACTCGTGGTGACTTATGAAACTTGGGTTCCCCATCCTACCACACTTACGAGGTTAGCCTGTTCCGAGCCTTGAGGCATACTGGAAGCCCCCAAGACTAAGATCTCCTGCTTACTCCTCACCACATGGATTAATCCCTCTACTTGAGTATGATTAGCCATTGGAGTTTCAGAATAACCCCGCTCCTACTTTCATTCTAAAACACTAAGGATCTCACCAAGAGATCCTACACAGATGGAACTTGATTTACAACTTGGATCATATTTTCTTCACTTTATAATCATATACTTTCTGCCACAATTAACAAATACACAATCTCAACAATATACATTACTCACCACTCACAAATTATAAAAACTAACATCTTCCCACAATTGAATCTAAGGTTAATCAATACCAAGACCAAACACTACTAACTAACCCATAAAGCTCATAAAATGCATCAATTATACATACCTACAAGTAATATAATATGATTAACACTCACGTTTCAATATAAGAACAAAACTATCCTTACTTTATTTATATATATATATATATATATATATATATTATATATGATCATACAGTATCTGTAAATATACATATTTATATTATATTAGAAGCTATCAAACTCTATTTTCAGGCAACCTGTTTTGCTCAATCAAGGCATACTCTGGATTCTAAATAATCATAAACTAACTGCCCACCTGTAAATCATAAAGTGCAAAATGGATATGGAGTTATTGTTTGAAAATACCAACGCACCATTAAAACTAATATATATTTATATATATATAATACTATAAATATATTATATATATATATATATATATGTTTCGGTGGAAAGTTTTGGGACCGAGAAACTAAACCTGGTATATGTCGGGGCTGCTCGCTTTCCTCCAAACTCCAGCTGCTGGTCGATCGGTGTTGGCGCAAACCGATCGGTCTCTTTGACGAGGGGGATGTACCGCAAAAGGTACCCACGCCCAGTTAGGCGTGTGATTTGAAGAGCCTCGGCTCTTGGTTGATATTTAGTGAATGGTTATCACTATTGAGTATTTGAGAGTCATGTAGAGTAAGTGGAACGTACCTGGCCTTTGGCCCTGGCTTTGTATTTATAATTTACCTCAGGATCCTAAGCTGATATAAGCCCAATAAAATATAAACAGATAAGATATAAACAGATTACCTGAATATACTGGTGGTGTTTGTAACCGTTCGGTTAATATTTGATACCTATCATGCCCTAATCCGAGTTAGACGGTCGCTGTTAGCCGTGGTTAAAATATAGGGATGATGAGTTTGAGGGAGGCTGCGTTGGCGGAACTGGAAAGCGTTTACCGCTCGACCCTCAATAGTAACTGAGCTGGCTCTAACGCCTTGGCTTAGGATTAACGCTCGGTCTTCGACATTTGTCGAGTAGGGTTTTTACTCTCGACCTTGCTACAGTAACCGAGCGGAATTTACCGCTCGTCCTTCAACAGGAACAGAGGGAATTTACCCTCGGTCTTCGACATTAACCGAGAGGCTTTACCTCTCGACGTTATAACCGAGATATTCCACGACATTAACCGAGAGGGATTTACATCTCGACCCTCGCTAACGAGGGGATTTACGAACGACTAACCGAGAGGAATTTACCTCTCGAACCTTCAATATTACACGAGCAGGGAGTTACCTCTCGTCCTTCAACATAACCGAGAGGGATTACTCTCGACCTTACGACTTAACCGAGAGGGGTTACCTTAGACCTTCGACTTTAACCGAGAGGGGTTTACCTCTCGACCTTAGACTTACTGAGAGGGATTTACTTCTAGACCTTCAAACTTTACACGAGAGGGATTGTACTCTCGAACCTTCCAACATCAACCGAGAGGGATTTACCTCTCGACCTTCGACTTTAACCGAGAGGGGTTTACCTCTCGACATCGAACTTTAACCGAGGGGTTTACCATGCTCGACCTTCAACATAAACGAGAGGGGTTTACTCGACCTTCGAAATTAAAAAAAAAAAAAACCCAAAAAAAAACAACACCCCAAAAAAAACACCCCTAACCAAATAACCCCCAAAAACCAACCGAGAGGATTACCTCTCGACCTTCGACTTTAAACGAGAGGGGTTTACCTACTCGACTTCGACTTTAAACGAGAGGGGTTACCTCTCGACCTGTCGACATTAACGAGAGGAGATACCTCTCGACCCTTCCACATTAACGAGAGGGATTTACCTCTCGACCTTCAACATAACCGAGGAGGGATTTACCTCTAGACCTTCCCATCAACCGAGAGGGATTTACCTCTCGACCTTCGAACTTAACGAGAGGGGTTTACCTCTCGACCTTCGACTGTAAGAGAGGGGTTTACCATCGACCTTCCAAACATCAACCGCGAGGGGTTTACCTCTCGATCCTCGACATTAACCTGAGAGGGATTTACACTCTCGACCTTCGACTTTAACCGAGAGGGGTTACTTCTCGACCTCAAACTTTAAACCGAGAGGTATTACCTCTCGACCTGACTTTAACCGAAGGAGGTTTACCTCTCGACCTTCGATTAAACCGAGCGATTACCGCTCGACCATTCGACTTTAACCGAGAGGGGTTTACCTCATCGACCTTCGAACTTTAAACCGAGAGGATTTTACCTCTGGACCTTCGACTTTAACCGAGAGGGGTTTACCTCTCGACCTTCGATTAAACCGAGGGACGGGATTTACCGCTCGTCCTTCAATAGAACCGAGAGGAATTACCTCTGCTTTGGAGTAGGAGTGTGCCTAGTGAAGGGATTTACCGTTCGTCGTTGAGAGGGGCTTTACATCTCTCCCGAGGGGGATTTACCGCTCGGTCTTCGGACCTAGGAGGCTTCCTAGGGAACGGGCTTTACCGTCGGCATTGGAGAGGGTTTTACCTCTGCTTTGAGCTAGGAGTGGCTTCTAGTGAACGGAATTTACCGTCGTCGTTGAGAGGGTTTACTTCTCCCGAGGGGGATTACCGTCGGTTCGACCTAGGATGTTCCTAGGGAACGGGCTTTACGTTAGGCTTTGAGAGGGTTTTACCTCTGTTTGACTAGGATTGTTCCTAGTGAACGGGATTTACACAGTTGTCGTTGAGAGGTTTACCTCTATCCCGAGGGGGATTTACCGTCGGTCATTCGACCTAAGGAGTGCTTCCAGGGAAGGCGCTTTACCGTTCAGCTTTGTTTGTTCCTCCATGCTCCTCGTGGTCACCGTTGGTTTGCCGCTCGGCCCACGGGGGGCCAATGTTTCGGTGGAAAGTTTTGGGACCGAGAAACTAACCGTTGATGTGTCGGGGCTGCTCGCTTGCCTCCAAACTCCAGCTGCTGGTCGATCGGTGTTGGCGCAAACCGATCGTCTCCTTCTTGAGCGAGGGGATGTACCTTGCCAAAAGGTAACTCCGAAGCCCAAGTAGGATGTGATTGAAGAGCCTCGCTAGTGGTTGAATATTAGTGATGTTATCACTATTGAAGTATTTGAGAGGTCTGTGAGTAAGTGGAACGTACCTGGCCTTTGGCCCTGGCTTTGTATTTATAATTACCTCATGGATCCTAAGCTGATATAAGCCCATAAGTAAACAATATATACAGATGAGATGTGATTGAACTTCGGTAAAGTATAGGAAGGAGAAGAGAGAATGAAGAATGGAAGAATGGTAGGGTAGTAAACCGTGAGAGTATTATTTTATACTATAAATACTTATATATAATATTATATATATATATATATATATGGTCCTACTTTAAATTCCCAAACAACACAGTGACTGATTTCCTAAAATATAATGACTAGAAATTAAACTGAATAACTTTATGCATCTACAATAACTTGTTTTATGTTTATTTTCATCCTAGTAGAGATCTTTCATTACCCCAATTGTCACCGGAGAGGAACCAAATGTCTGAATGTATCAAACTAACCTTCGACACCCAGCACTATGCTAGTCACAAACTTTATTGACCAGGCCATGGCTGCTCTATGATCAAGGGATGTGCCAAACTCAGATTTTTAAGGTTCCTCTACCTACCAACAAAGAAAGGCCTCTCAACAATTAACATTAATTTATTTAAATTATCTACCCTGTTCTCTTATGCTCTTAAATCTGGAAATGCCTAATTTGAATATTTTCACTTCTCTCACAACAGATCTCAAACAGTACGTGACATCTTATTTTTAATACCATATACAGTGCTATTACGGAATTCCTTATTCCAAACCCTTCCAACAAGATCAATTTCAGCCACAACTCATCAAAAAAGATTAATTCATCACATAACAACATGCACAATTTCACAGTTTCGTAATAACACCCAATACAATAAAAGTCTAAAACAGTTTCACAATAGCACACGTAGTTCAACATTGCATATGCATATTTTTTGATAAAATAATTATACAAAAATAATTAGTTCCCCTACCTTGAAAGCTTAAACAGACACTCCTAGGAACGCTCTAGCAAGTACCTCTCATCACAGAGGGCAGTTTGACAGCCTATAGGCCAACCAAAATTGGTGTAGAGCACATTTCTAGAGTTGGAAGGACAGAGAAACTAAAGGAAAGAGCTACCAGTAACTAGGCAACTAGCAAGTTGCATGGCTTAGGTTCAAGAACGGTTGAAGAAAAGGAAAGAAAACACTTACCGGTCGGAATGGAAAAACGTTCGGTTCAAAACTGAAGCCCTTGGTGACGCGAGCACGAAACACACTTCAAATCAAAATTTGATCGGTTCAGTGAAGAGAAAATCTAGAGAAAAGGCAGAAGAATTTTAGGGCAAGGGTTTGAGAGAGAAAGAAAGCTGGCCAAAAAATGAAGAAATTCTGATCTTTAGAAAACCCCTTCCTAGCATGTGACAACCCGGGCACTGACGAGGCGGGGAGTGATCGCCGGTGCAAGAGGCACGAAGTGCAAGGGACACTGACAAGGAGCGGCTCTTGGCAGGCTTCCAGTGGAAGGGGACACATGGATGAATCGAACATACACCGGAATGAGAGGGATCTAGAGACTGTATAGGTATGAGACTATACAGTTGAAGGATAGCTTAAAGGGATTGATTGGCTACTCATATCACCAAATGCATTTGTTTTTCGGTAGCCTAACTCATAAGAACTCCATGGTTAACCATGCTTAGCCTGGAGTAATTTAGGGATGGGTGACAGGGATGTGTGACCTTCTGGGAAGTTTTCTCGGAAAGTGTGCGAGTGAGGACAAAGCACATTAGAAAGTCTCGTGGTGATGTGAGGGGGCGTTACACCAGGTCTCATTTTTTTTTTATTTTAATAATTCTTGCGAGCTCCTATGCCAATTCTTATGAAATAATAATATGTGGTTTTGAGTATTCGTTGTGCATAATTAATCATCACTCATCATATTAGTACATAATGTTAGCTTTAGAGTTGATATTTGTCCAAGTCTAATGCATGCCTCATGTTCATTATTAGATGTATTTTGTTGAATGATGTTGTTGCAGTTAGTGGATGGGTTGGGGTATAAAGAAGTCTGAAATTCAATTCCTCATATTTCTTTGCTATCAGACTGTTTAGCTGCTATTAAAAGGACCTATATGTCGATGATTAACAATGTTCAAGTACAGGTAAAGAGATTGTGTTCTAAATGGTTTTCCTTCTTTATAAATAATTACTTTGCTTTCAGTCTTGAGCATCTTTGTGCCAATCACATAATTTTAATCAAAGCATATTAGCAACTTTCCTATACCGAGGGATTTGGTTTTAACTGATTGTTACATTTTTCCCCACTTTAACATCATGTCATTGAACTACAAAGAATATGAATTTAGCACTTTTCTAGTTTTGTTACTTCTTGTCTAGGTTTTATCTTTCTGGATTAAATCAATACTTTTAGTATTGTCTATGTCTATTCATTATTTATGGTAGTAGGAGAAACAAGCAGTAGAAGAGAACCAACAGTTCAGAAACATCAAAGCAATTATGAAACAAATGTTGAAAAGTAAATTTATTAGGTCTTCATAAACTATAATCAGTAGCTAAGGGTATTCTTGCTTATAGTAAAAGTTGATTAGGTTAACAATGTTATTGGTTTGTTGCATAAATTGTAGATAAGCGCGGATAGTAATAATTTTGTTAAATTTTCCTTACTTTCATTGGTTGGATGCAGAGGTTGATTTTGAGTGCCAACTCTTGTAGGTCATCTATGCTATGTTGAAAATTACTACAATTTACAAGTGTGGAGTGCGTTGAAGCCCAACAGAGTCAAAAAAACCCAATACATGAGATGGATTTATTATCTAGTCAGAAAAATGATGTTAATTATGCATGTGGTGGTTGTTCTGTGGCTTCAAAAATTTAACATCTGACCCTTGGAAAGAAGAAAATACACTGAAGTTTCAAAATTTCTGGTATATCCTAATGCTTGTTATAATTTTTTCTACCTTGGTTAGTTTTATTTAATGTAACAAGTCCCTTTCTCTCATTATTAAATATATGTTGTATACCTATGTCATAATACTTCAAGTATTGTCATGATAACATAGTTACCTGCTCTCGTGATGGAAGTTCAATTATATGGGTTCCCAGATCACGTAAATCTCATGTGAGCTCCTTTAATTGGATTAAAATTTAATTTTGGTTTATTTTTATTCTTAAAGAAATTTTATTTTTGAGAATTTTTTTGGTTCTATATTAGCTTGAGATAAAGTTTGAAAGAGTATATAAATGGAATCAATCTTCATTGTTTTGTAGATGAACATATCGATAATGGAGAACTTGGGCAAAATGGTATGATGTAGAGCTTTTGTCTGTCATGACAAATGGTGTTTATATTTGGAATATGAAACATGTATTATATTTTTTTGGTGTTTGACTTGCTCAATAATTTTTTTCACTCTCTCTGGTGTTATATTTTGAATGGAAACAGAACAGGTGCGTGAACATGATAGCACATTTGTTCCATGCTGAAATTGGAGAAGATGGAAATGTTGTTGGAGCAAGAACTGTTGGCTCATCAAAAGCTATGATGCTGGCAGGACTTGCATTCAAGAAGTGGCAGAACAAGCATAAGGCAAAGAGACTTGAGGCATCAAACCTATCTTTGGTGCTACATCTTGGATTGAGGAATCCATGGCCTTGATTGTCCTTTATCTTGGAGCTACAAGAGCAAGTGTGAAGCTACAAGAGCAAGTGTGAAATTTCAATTAGCTATCAAACGTTCCCTTGTAAACCCTCTGTTACACTCTGGCAAAGTGCAAAAATTTGCCACAAGCTAAACCTCTAGTTTTTTAGTGATTTTGTTTAGGTCATCATTAGCCTATGTATTTTATTTTATATATTTACATCATAATTGTCAATAAATATAAATATACTTTGTTTTAAATCATCAATAAAATTAATTTTGATTATATTTTTTATAATTTACAATTTTATATATTTTATTAATTTTTTATATTATTTCAGCAAGCTCGTGAATTGAATATATATTAATCCCAAAAAATAGTGTAAAAGATATAGGTATTTTTTGTAATTAAATAGTTGAAAATAAAGGAGGTTAAAAACTTTTGTAAAATAATAGTCAGTAATAGAGGAGGTTTTTACCCTCCACAGAAAGAAAATCTTTCGCAAATTGAATGTGATACCAGGGGTCGCCAAAAACCTCTGCAGATAGATTGTGGCGACTCAAACTGCAACAGTTTGAAAAACTCCCAGAAATTACTTTGCGGAGGGAAACACTCCTACAAATCGAAAAAAAAAACCTCCGCTAAATAACACTTTTTTTGTAGTGATTAACTATGCATGGGAAAGTGTATTTGGTTAGTCTTGATAAATGTAGTCGTTACAAACGAAAAGATGCACGTCGAAGTTGGACACTGTTCAACATCTACGTCATATGGGAAAATGCTCTTTTTACGTCTATGTTGGTCATGATAAATGCTCATAAAACACAATATATAGCCAATCCAAGCGACAGAAATAAAACTGAACGATAGTAAGCAGTAGAGGCCGAACGTAGGCCGAGTACAACAAAGACAGAACAACACAGTCCTGAATGTACATAACCGAACGCTCACAAGAGAACGTTCGACCACAAACGACCCGAAAAAGTCGAACGGTTATCAAAGAAAAACCGAACGGTCAAAAGTAATACAAGAGTCTAACTAACAGTAACAAATCTGTTAAAGCAAGTTAGAATTTATAAAAAGCAAAATAGGACAAAATTGTCTATTTTAATTGATTACATTAGTAACCTAATCGATTAAAACAAATAATTTGACTTAATCGGTTAAGGTTTTTACCTAATCTATTAAAATGCGACATAATGTCATTTTCTATATATATTTGTGTTATAACCTGAGTCATCACAAAATTCACTTTGCAATATACTAACAAATCTTTGAGTTTGAGTACAGGCACATAGCAAGAAGCATTCTTGGAGGATTCAAGCAACATTTGTGAAAGACATCACCAAGAACTCTTCAAGGCATGAAGAAGGCAACAAGAACTGTGGCATATGCACAATTGAGCGTGTTTTTAGGTTCCATGAGCATTTTTGACTTGTAACCTTAGCTGGGTAGGTAAGGTTGGACATAGTGGTGTAGTCCTCTCTTGGTCACTTTGTTTTGTATTTGAGTATTGGTGAGGATACAAATTGAGTGTTATTTTTTGTATTCTTGACTCAAATATTTATTAGTGGGTTTCCCTTCAATTAAGATTGTTGAAGGAAGACTAGATGTAAGCTCATTCAAAGAGGTAAACCAATATAAATCTTGTTCTTGCATTTTATTTTGCTTGGTTCAAATACTTTTGTTTAGTGATTTCAAGATTTCAAAGAATTGAAAATTGTTTTTAAAATCCAATTCACCCCATCTTGGCTTGAGGTATAGGCCCTAGATTTCTAACAATTTGTATCAAAGTTGGTTAATCAAACTCTTAATCGATTAAAAAGATCCTAGATGGTCAATATATCTCAAACCTTTGGTGAAAGGGCCTCCACAAATGAACAGCTCCACAATATAAATATTATGCTTTTGATGAAGGGATTAAATGCTTATACATCAAGTGTGAATGTACAAGAATTGTGAAAGATGAAGTGGTCAAAGTTCACCTATACCAAAAAGGGTGAATGCAAAATTACAAGATTTGCACATTTCATGTGAAGAAATTCCTATTACTTGAACTGCTCATGAGAATTGCCAACCTTCAGGTTCGAATATTTTTGTACAAACCTCTAAGATGGATCAATTTATGCATATGAAAAGATATGGTCAATAATATTCTTAGTTGACATGCTGAACAAGAAGCACAGGATAGTCGAGATGAAGAGTCTTCAAATGAAGCCACTAAGAGGTTTTATAATTTATTCGTTGAGGTAAATCAATTTGTATTTCAAGGGTCAACAAAGTCAAAATTGTTAGTGTGCATTAGACTCATGGCTTGTAAATCTAATTGGAACATTCCCAATCAAGTATTATACTTCATTTCAAGAATCTGTTTAGATCTAACACCACCAAATAAGTCTTTGCCAAAGAATTACTATGAAGCCAAAAGATGTGTTTCTAAGCTGAGAGTGGAAGCTAAGAAGATTGATTGTTGTGTGAATAGTTGTATACTTTTCTATGACAATAAAAATTATGCATCCTTGCTCGAATGCAAGTTTTGTAGGCAGCCTCGGTATGATGTAACTGATGGTGGTTTGACGTAGTTTTAGGTTCATAACCAGCCATTAAGTCTCATAATTCAAGAGTTAAGGGATTTTTCAAATTGGCCCATGAGATGCGTCAAAGAATGACACATATATTTTGTTAATGGGTACAAGTTCCACACTGATACATGGTCCAAGGGAAATAAGACAATTAATTGTGGTATGTAAATGATGGGCCTTACAAAGGGTGGTTATGATGATTTCTATGAGATTATTCATAAAATATATGAGCTAGAGTACAACACTTCAACTTCTCTGAAGAGAGTAATTCTTCTTTTATTGTGAATGGTTTGATCCTTATAGGAGTGGTACAAGAGTGGATCATAGGTATAATATTATTGAAATTGAAATGAGTTTAAGATACCGCTCATTTGATCCATTCATTCTAGCTCATAATTTTAGACAAGTTTATTATGTCCCATATTCAACATTTTGCAACATCAACAAACGTGATTGGTGTGTTGTGTAACACCCGAATATTTTAAAGGGTATTACTGATAGTAGAGACTAAATTAATTTGATATCTCATATAAACAATCAAACTTTATTTCAATTACTCCAAAGTACAATACCAAACTTACAAACTTTAAACAATATAGTCTTCACCATTGAAATTTCAACTTATAAATTTTACACAACATAATCTTCCCAATACAAATTTATTCTTTTTACAAAAATCCCTGAAAGTTTTTCCCCGCATCTCTCTCATCTCTAAGCTTTTTCAACCGCATCTGCAACATTATCTAATCACATATAACATGAGTTATATGATCATAGTACAAACAAATAAGGGTAAGCCAACCATATCATAAAATCATTAAACTTGTAACAAAAATATTAAAATCAGGTATTTCTGCAATTGATAAAATATCATTATTCCGATGTCATTAATTCATCATTATCAAAATCATCTTTCTCATTTCCATAAATCTTACAAGTGTACCATGCTTACTCATGAAGCCTTATGGTCAGACCGCTCTCTGCCTGCTTCCTTAAGCCTCACTTACATACTATGTCTTACTTTCTGAAGCCTTATGGTCAGACCCCTCTCTGCCTGCTTCCATAAATCTCAGGTGTTACTTTGCTCATACCAAACTCTCATGGTATAACTCGAACATACTACTCCCGGTAGTAAACATCATTTCATAAGTAATGATTTCTCATATCCACTCCAACATTTCATAAAAACCAACAATTCATACCCTCTTATCCACCTAACTCAATCATGTTCATTCTTTAATCATGAATTCATAATAACCCGTTTTGGTATCGATAAATTAAACACATTGCCAGATATCATGCTTCATATTATAAACTCATTTTGCCCATAACGAGTATAACTCAACATATTTTCACCAAACAAAGATCATGGATCAACCAAAATACATCAACATATCTTAGGAACTACATATTAAAGTCTGGGCTCAATGTAATGATAAATAAAATATATATGAAATTTTTACCATGATAATATTATGCATCTACAATCAACTTGTTTTATTTTATTTTCATCCTAGTAGAGATTTTTCTTTACCCCAATTGGTCACCGGAGAGGACCCAGATGTCTGAACGCATCAAACTCACCTTCGACGCCAGCACATATGACTAGTCACAACTGACTGGACCAGGCCAGGGCTGCTCTATGATCAGGGATGTGCCAACTCAGGTTTTTAAGGTTCCTCTATCCTACCAACAAAGGGAGGCCTTCAATAATTAACAATTTATTTATTTAATTTATCTACCTTGTTTTCTTATGCTCTAAATCTTAAAATGCCTAATTTTACTTCCTCTCACAACAACCTCAAACACTGTATATATATTTAATACCCATATACAAGCTATTACAGAACCCTTATTCCAAACCTTCCAACAAGATTAATTTCAGCCAACAAACTCATTCAATAAAATCATCACAATAAACATCCATAATAGAATTCATACAAGATAATTATAAACAATTAACAATAATAAAACATTACTATAAATGGTCATAGAAGAATACAATATTTGACAATCATAAAAATAATCTTAATATAAAAATTCATGGGGAAACAAGAAGTTGAATCTGGCAGAGCCGGTTAGACAACTTCTAATCCATCCATCAATACAATATAATTAAATAACAAGAACAATACATGTCTGGGGAAATAAGAAGTTGAATCTGGCAGAGCCGGTTAGACAACTTCTAATCCTTCCAAAAATGCAATAAAATAAATAAGTAAAGAAATAAATAGTTTGGGGAAACAAGAAGTTGAATCTGGCAGAGCCGGTTAGACAACTTCTAATCCTTCCAAAAATGTAATAAAATAAATACGGAAGGAAATAAAAAAAAGTTTGGGGAATCAAGAAATTGAATCTGGCAGAGCCGGTTAGACAATTTCTAATCCTTCCAAAATACAATAAAAATAAATAAGGAAAACAATAAAATGTTTGGGGAAACAAGAAATTGAATCTGGCAGAGCCGGTTAGACAATTTCTAATCCTTCCAAAATAAAAAAAAAAACCACTAATAACATACAATTGACATAACATAATCAATATCACATTTTACAATTATCACACTTGGATATTAACACACAAAAAAAACATATTCTCATTTAAAATTCAAAATCATACAGAAACAAAATACTCCATATTTAAGATTTAAAATCAGAC